TTAGAGGCTCGGCCTGCACTTAATAATGATTAAGATTACATCATGGTTCACTCTGAAAAGCGGAGAAATGCACTTAGTCTGTGGCGTTTATATACAAATGTTCAAGTAATATCAACGGTGTTTGCATGCTAATAGACATGTAAATTTTAAAATATTTATAATATTTAAACAAAGTTTGTACATAAAATAACACATACTGTATTCTGAAAGCCATTGACATGCATTGAAACGTGGGACATTTTTACTAAGCGATTGACACCATCCGGCAAAGCAATTGGGACAACAAATTTCAAGGGTACAACATGTGTTTCAAAGTAAAAAATTCAGGTCTTTAATCTAAGAGGATTGTCGAACTAACCAACACCGAACTTATGTTTGAAATTAACATATTATTGTTTTAACCCTATAGCTGGCAGTCATTTTACTCTGTAGTGGCAAGGGTTTTTTAGGCGTTGCGCAACCATTTTTTAAAACACTTAAAAAATATATAAACCCAGAAAACACATTATATTATATATCATTTTTTCAGCAAAAAACAAGGAATAATATTATATAAATTTTAGTTATGAAATTTTAGTTTACAAAAAATATATTTTTTAGTATATTTACTAAGCGTAAACTTTTTTTATTTATATGCATAGGCTATATAATTCCATAATACAACACAAATCAATGAACTCAAGAAAATTTTTTAAAATATACAAAATGTCCAGAATTCCATGAGGAAATGAATTATATATAATACATGTAGGCTACCTTGTTTCTAAAAAAAATACATATATTGTCAACCGGGGCTAATATGAACACACCAAAATATTGGGGCTAATATGAACAATGACTTAAAAAGTCATTTATCTGGGATTTTTAATCATGAAAAAAATATAATTAGAAAGGAAATTTATTGTATTTTTTGTGTCCATAATGTGAAAACTTCAAATTTGACTTTTAGGTACTTTAAAAAAATACTTTGTTAAAACACTTTTTTTCCGCCCAAAAAACTTTTCCGCGCAAAGTGAAAACTTTTGTTATAACAATTTTTACATTGGTTGTAGGAATAATCTTAAGCCTGAATTTTGTTAAATAAGAATTGGGGATTATTTTTCTTTTCCCAAAGTTAAAATATAATAATAACAGCCAAAGTTATAAGCTTTCAAATTTGGGGGGCTAATGTGAACAGTGAATGGGGGCTATTGTGAACAGTACCACCTTCCGCTATGTCGCTACAGTGTTAAAAACACTGGCTGACGGGGAGATCGAAGTGATGGGATTTAAATCCTGTGATGAGGAAAAAAAATCATTCCTGAAAAAAGAAGATGATATATTTATTGTATCTACCACTGACATTTTGGGGAAACTTCCAGCCCCTAATGTATGTGGAACCAGTGATAGACATAAGTATGTCTTCGACAAAATTGTCGAAGTTTTTGAGGCGTAAGTTCCTCAATAAACTTCTTTGAAGGCCTTACAGTGATAAAACAGTTTTAATTTTACAAAGACAACAGTTAAGGTGTTGAATAGGCATAGCCCACATTTTTATATTTACCTAATAGGCCTAAAAGTGCAATAAACTGTCATTTGCCTAAACGAACAATTTGCATTGTCTTAAATTAGGCTATTGTTTTTTTAAGTGCTTTAAACAATTTGTATGTGGAAGAAATTTTTAATAAATACTCAGGTATGTTGACAGATAATTTTTTTCTTGTTTATATCTTATTATTAGCCCTGTATAATATTTATAAATGGTTTTAAAAAAAAGGGTTACCGTAGGGCGACCCGCGGCTCTCCAAAGATACCTTCATATCTCAAAAACTATTTAAGATAAAATATTGAGACTTATTGCAACTGGTAGACTAGACCCTAGGCTTGTTCACAACAGCCCCCACATATGCCTAGTGTTGTAAATAACAGAGTTATTAAGAGTGTTCACATTAGCCCCATGGGCTGTTCACATTAGCCCCTTTTAGCGGGGCTAATGTGAACAGTGGTTTTTAATTTTTTTTTAAATAATGGTTACATTTTATGGTTTTTGTTAATAAATAAATAGATTCAGCTAAAAGAGCTGTATACACTACTATTTTTTCTTTTCTTCTGTCATTTACCATTTTTGAGTTAATGTCAAAAGTTTACTTTTTTTGTTCATATTAGCCCCGGTTGACCCTAGCCTAACAGTTTTTATTACCATATACATATTCGGTGTACAACCAACCCTAGGCCTAGTACTAGAATTGCATGTCTCCTGGCTACCTACTTAGAATTGGAACTCACTAGATCGGTCACAGTAGTTACAATCATTCATCTTGAAGTGAAATCAACTCACATTTCAATAAAAAATAAAACTTATAACGAAAAAACACCGAAACTAACCAAACACAACACGAAATAAACAACAACAGACACTGGTAATAAGCGATTATTGCGTCACCATGACAATGCCGTCAGCTGATGCTTTATTTTCATAGAGTTTTAAGTTTTCCCAAAGGCGTATAAATAGTTGAAATGCACATCAATTGACAGATTATTCATTTCTGAACCGAATAAATACTATATTAAGTGAATTTTTTTCATTTTCGTGCAAAAATCGGCGATTTCCGATACGTTGTAAATGCGCCTGCCGTTTCGGCCGCGGCGTAAATCGCCCGATATCGGGCGCATGCCAGCTCAAGGGTTAACATGGTTTGGAACTAACGAATCATAACATTGTCAATTTAAACCAATCTATATATAATAGGCAAGCATGCTTCTTTAAAACATTTTTTCTCAGCTCGTGTGCATCGCAGAGATAATCTACGCATAGGCCTACCGTTAGAAAGATATTTTCCTGTAGATGTGCAGAATCCCTTTAACAATTAAAATAGGCTCAAATATAAGGACAAAAAATGAATTTTAAATTTGAAAAAATTAACCTGAGCTTTATGGGTTGCGATGCTGGCTGACGAAATAACAACGAAATATTTAAACAGAAATAAATGGAAGAAATTCCAATCACATGTTTTATTTACAGCGTAGGAAGAAAATAGAGAAGCCTGTACAAAAAAAAATTCCATCCCCATGTTAAAGTTGTCACCAGTTATAACACCCCCACCGCAGCAAACCTGCAGACTTAACGAATTTCAACTTGTCTGATTACATTTTTCTATCATTTTTGTCTGCTACGGGAAAGGTAAAACGTGTTTTTTTGACCATAGGTCAATAGTATAGGATGAAATAAATACATTTGCCAAATTTTATCAACATATATCCATAAACAAGTAAACTGCAACCAATTTCATTTTCTCCATAAGGCCTACCGCACACAAGAGACTTTTTGTCGGCCGACTGTTGGCCATCCGTCTGGCTGGAGTCGGGTGGACAATCGAAAAGTCGTCAAGACTGTTTGGTCGTTGACTATGGGTGCGCACACGACACGACTGTTTAGTCGTCTTTCGAGTGTCAAAAGGATGTATATGACAGACACCGCTGTCATATGTGCGTTACTGACAAGATTTCGTGCAAGAAAACTTAAGAGAAAATACTGGGTGCATCCAATTTATAGTCCGAGAACCATGAAAGGCCAGATTTACCTCTATACTCGGATTCGAGGAAATATCCAGACAAATTTTTCATGTACTCATAAATGAGTGTTGATTTTTTTGACCAATTGTTAATACCCCGGCTTCAAATACTTACCTCATCCCATAACTTTTAGGGAATAAGCTGTAACCGTGGGTCTCATGGTGAGACCTGGTCCCGGGACAGATTTACCTTTTCGTTTTGATGTCCCCAGAGGCCAAAAACACCATCCGTTCAAATTCACACACACACATATATAGGAATATTTGTCCGTTAGCACGATGACTCGAAAAAAAAAATCATCCGATCTTGATGAAATTTGGTACAAACGTGTAGGCCTAAATCTACTTTATTTGAATGAGTTCGCAAACCAGCATGACTATGGGAACGGCGGTTTATGGGGGGTTTTATCGGGTAAAAATGGGGGTTTCCCATTTTTTTACGTTTCCCATTTAGGCCTAAGCATTTTTGAAAAAGTAATTTGAAGTGTTTTTCTCAGGATTTTAATTTTACAAAAACAGTCTGCAGGCAACATAAACTAACAACTCGCAGGCAACATAAACTAACAACTCGATACGTTATAACCTAAACTTTAGGTCCCTTCCTAATCTAACCTAACTTCAAAACACTTAATGCAGTCACCAATTCACATACAGCACGACCTACCACCACCCTGACATGCCTAAATAAGAACTACATGTAATTAGTCCACCAGTCCATCTATATCTCCATAATGTGACAAAATTCCTATTATAGAGAACATTAAGTTATTTGATTACAGAATCACTTGAAATGTTATTCATCCTATCTTGTTTATTGTAATGTTAAGTATGTTTTTACGGCTATATCTTGAGAAACATTCATCAGCGGTGAAAAATAATGGTATATTTGGATTCAGGAGGTAAAAAACTACAAAGTAAGATATCAAAATTAAAAATTTGTTTGGAGGCACCTATACGGAATAAATGACTTAGCCAAATGTTCTCCTTATGTAAATCGATTCAGACTCTAAACTTAAGATGTACCGTAGGCCTATAATGTAGGCCCTAACCTTAAAATAGGCTAAGTTAGGCCTCCTATGTTAGGAAAATTAAGACTTAATTTTATAAACAACTTGAAAACTAGTCAATTGGCCTAGCCTAGGCTAAGCCAAGGGCTTGGATTGTCAGGTGACTGATAAGGAAAAAGAAAAAGGTTGCACCATTCATAATAACTTAGCCAATGAAATGCTAACTTACTTTTCTAGTTTAAGCCTACCTAAAGGTACAGAAAAAGACTTGCAAGTAGGGTACTTTCAAGGACAACTGTATTAGACCAACAAAAGCTTGGTTGTCTTGACATCACCCATTAATGATGGACTCAAGATGGGCTAACAAACTATTTGGCATAGCCTATGAGTGATCCTTTAGTAGTATTATATAAATTAAATGTGTCTCAATGTAAAAACTTACCGTGTGAAGCATGCGAATTAATTTGAAACGACTGTCCTGAAGTTTGTCCTTTTTGCATGCTTACAGCAACGTGTACTTAAGTCCGTTATGAGTCTTCATAGGATCCCACTCCAAATAGCAATTATTACGTAAAACCGCAGATTTACACGACAATTTTCAATTTACAGAAAACACTCGTTAATTACAAACACAAATGCACCATAATAAATCAAAACAGATTACTCCAAACGAGGATTAATTCGGATTAATCGAACTATTCACAAAGGGCACCACCTCAACGTTTTAATTCAAGAAGAAGGCTTCGTCCATTTTCGTAATCTTCGTTTCTCATTCGGGAGCAGTCGGAATCGTCTGGTCCACGACAAATGGCGGCGGAGAAATGTTGTAAATTATAAAAATTATAGCTGTATTCTAGTGGAACTATTCACTATTGCCAATTAATTCAATTTGAAAGAACTGCTGTATACAGAGAGCTGGAAAATTCACGCAATTAGATAGATATACTTAAAATTCAACAAACAACAAAGTAGGTAAATTGTCAAATACAGTGCCAAACAAATTTATTTTTATTAGATACTGCCTGTGAGATATCGTCAAATCTAGAGAATGTACTATAAGAAAATACTATATGCCTCAGTCTATTTTATTTTTTCCTAACTTGCAGGTTGCAAACCATTTTCAAACCACAGAAGAAGTTATGATTTACCTTTCCATTGCCTGGTCAGTTCTTGCATTTCCCAGGACATATCTGCATACTTAAATTACATTATACTTTACTTTATACTTTCTTATGAAATGGCGACCATACTATGTGTAGGTATTTTAACCCAAGCATGAATGGAGATGAGTGTAGGATGAGTGGCGCGATCTTGTAGTCTTGTTAGTGACTAAGGCCGACATTCCTTATACACAGCTGTTAATTAATAGCCCAAACAGCTAATGGCAACTAAGAGACCTACAGTTTATAGTGGACTCCGAACCACATTTTTTCCTTGGAATATACGAATTGGTCTAATTATCAGGATAGTACTGCGGATAGTAGTAGTACTCACTAGTGCGGACGTTAATCCACACCAGGGAGTATCCCATCCACAGTGCATGCCTATAAATATCCACAATCCGTGATCTCCAAGTAGCTGGATTACAGGACGACGCCACCCGTCCCAGTCTTGGTAATGGAATTGTGGGCTTGGTAATTATGGATAACTAATTATGAAGCTGAAGTTCACATTCAATCATCATAACCCAATACTCCAGACAAAAAAGGATGTTTTCATAGTTCAGTATTTTTCTTTTCATTATACATTTACTAGCTGACCCGGCGAACTTCGTATCGCATAAGTTATAGGTTTCCCCTAAGACAGACCGATGGAAAGAAAGTACCGTTACGTTTAATTTTCAAGATGATCTCGTTCGCATCGCTCAATCACGTCCTGGTTGAAGTTAGTTCGCTACGCTCACTCACCTTTGGGTTGGAGCTCGTTCGCTACGCTCACTCACCTTTAGGTTGGAGCTCGTTCGCTGCGCTCACTTGCCTTCAGGTTAGCTCGTTCGCTACGCTCACTCGCCTCCAGGTTGAAGTTCGTTCGCTACGCTCACTCACCTTTTGGTTGCAAATTAGCTGTTGTCATAAATGTAAAAGAAATAATAGTGCTGCACCCTGTTGGTAATCCTTGTAACTTTAATGCTATTGAACATCATAGAACAGAACAAACTTGTTTAATTGAAACAGCTGTTAAGATTCATTAATTCCATTTCTCATAAGGTTAACATGGGAAACTCCAGAGCCACTGGGGCGGAGCCCTTTTAAGAATTTCGAAACGGGAAATAGTTTACGTCCGATTCGCATACCTACAGAATTTACACACCAAATTTCATAACGATCGGTGAAGTCGTTCCGGAGGAGTTTGCAGACAAACACTGTGACACGAGAATTTTATATATTAGATTAATATTTTAATTACTTTTATCCTGTTATTAGCTTTTGAGTTGAAATTTATATACCTGCCTTTGTAAAAGTGGTGTAACAGCTGACCAAATGAATAAATAAAATTGCGTCTACAGTAATTAATTAGCCTCACAAGGAGTAGAGCAGCACTATACACAATGATTCCTTTCTTAGTGAGCGTCTTACTACCCAAAAGGAAGATGCCTGCCAAGTTTCAGGTTCCTAGGTCTTATGGTTTCTGAGATTTCGTGATGAGTGAGTGAGTCAGTGGTATTTGAGCTTTATATATAGATTACCGTACTTATTTTTACAAAATCGTGTTTTATGCTCAATTGATTAGGATTATAGATAAGCTGAATGCTGAAGTAAAGTTGGGGCATAGATAAAACATACTCCCTTAGTAGATTTCTCATCCTTATGGAACAGCTGAAGACAATTTTATTGTTAGTTCTGTACGGTTTATGTAGAGGTCGTGTTTTGTTTACAATTTGTTTCCCGTTATTACCATTGAGATATAGATTATAATTATACTAGTTGCTGTGCCCGTGCTTCGCTACGGGGTGAGAATGCAGAAAAGAATAATTCGGGTTTACTTTAAGATACTATAATATACTATGAGAAACAGTTACAACACACTTACCAGGAAACATATATAGGCAAAAGCTCAATCCTGCTTATTGATTATTTAAATTAAGATCTCTTATTAAAAGGAGAATTGTTTCTTGGTGCCATGTGGTTAATGAATTATACTTTTTCATATATTTTAAATACTATACACTACATAAAATGATAGTACTGTAATATTAAACAAATTAAATTAAATAGCAGAACAGCATTTCTGACAACAGCTGTAGTTTCATAACAATGTTTTTTCCCATGTTAATCTTATGGAGAAATAAAAAAAACTTTAAAGGACTCCCAGGTCCGACTCTCTAAATATTTCCCTAAAAAGAAAGTTTCCTGCACAACTTCACGTTACGCTCTTTCCAATGACACCAAAAACATGTCAATCGGTTCAGTAGTTTCGGAGGAGTAATTGTCACAAAAAACCTGCTTGCGTATTAAATAAGTATAGATTATTATAGCTTATTATTATTATTATAGTTATTATTATAGCTCAGTGGTTATTACAGCCATTTAAAACCTCGTTTAACCAAATAATACGATCTAATCATAAACAATGACTTGTCCCCTAGTTAAATAACCAAACAGTAAAGCACAAATCAAGAAATTAACCCTAAAATAATAGAAACAAAGTTTCGTCGACACTAGCGCCCATGTGTCACGTACATGAACTAGACACGAAAAACGTGCTTCAAAATTTACAATGGGATGAGAAGTCTACTTGTGTTGGTTTATGGTTGGGGTCATTGGTGGAAAAAGTTAATTAAGCTCAAGGGAGTATGTTTTATCTATGCTCATTGCTCTTAGGCACTATAGATATCTCAATGGTGTTTACCATGGTGTTTACCAACGCGAATAATTAAAATTATGTGGCTAGGCTAGAGTGGCAGCGTTGGAATATTCTTGGTTCAAGATTCGGTCCGCCAATCAAATCACCACAACGTTTTTATCATTCAACAAGAATTGAAATGTCAAACAAAATATCAACAACAAATAAATATCTAACCTTAAAAATAGAAAGCCACAAATCAGTAGCTCTAGCTCGTCATGTGCCCTTTGTGTCAAAGTGGCTGATAAAGAAATAGGCTCGTTGTAATTTTGAGTCAATAAAATGTGAGTAGTGATTGATTAATTTAATACACTTTATTACTATTTTATGTTTTATTCAATAGTCGATTTTTATCGAAATAACTTATAGGAGCATCAAGCAGACCTAATAATAATAAAATGCAACATTTTAGTATGTGACCTGCACACAAACCAATGAAAATAGGCTGTTTACCAAACCTTTTAATAGGCTACCCATATTGCTTTAGGCCTACTGTTAAAACCAACACACCATTTTACAAAACTAAACTTAACTTATAGGCCTATCCTAGTTTTTACAACACTTTTTTACCTTTTTACAAAACTTTGCAGAATGTTTTACTTCAGAACTTCAATAAACCTTGTACAGATACGACATGGTTTGCATTTCTCAGCAAAACATTTTAAACAACCTGAAGTCCAACTCACAAAGGATGTGTACAAGGTCAAGCGTGGAAACTATTCTGTTCTTGACGATTCCCACATAAAAAAGTTTGAAAATATATTAAGTCAAGAAAGAGTATTGACGGATGCTGAAGAACTGGATTCCTACAATACTGACTGGATTAAAATGGTCCGAGGTGTGTGCTTTACTTTTAAGAACTTTTAACTAATGTCTATCACAGCTTAAAATGTTGAATTAAATGGGTACACAGCTATTCTGTACAGAGTTTTTCTCATGATTTATTATTAATCATCGTGGCTTTTATACCAAATAAAAGAAGAGTTGTGTAGCTCAGTTCACGATTTGAACCTTGTAAGAAACGGTAAACGGGTAAACTTACTGTAAGTTAGACTCCCGATTATCCATATCCACGATAATGCCTGATGATCATCCACGATTAACCTGACTTAAGTTAAAATACATGGGAATAACTAACATTGACTTTGTAGGCATATTAAACAGTGTGGTAAGCAATAGGCCTAGTTTAAGTACTTACCATGCTTATAGTCCCGAATGTAATAGTTAAAAGCTTTAATATATGTTTAGGTAGCCTAATGATACCACCTAAATGCAGTGTAACTAGGCCTACCTTTAAACTTTCTTTCTTTTACCTACGTCTATTTACAAAACAAAAAATATCGTTGAACCTAAGTATATGCCTAGTAATAACAAGCATCAAAACACATTGAAATCTAACTGTTTAATTTAACTCATTAGTCGTAAGTAAATTGGTGACTCATCTGTGGTCTATTGTTCAATTGCCAGATGATGGATCTGCTTACACTAAATTTTTTGGTCAAAGCTATGATCATTCAACTTAAATGATTTTATTTTTGTTTTGCGATTGTGGTTACTCCCCAGCGTCAATAATCCACCCGTTCAACCATTACTACATTAACATGTCCCATATTTTTCAGGTTATAGCGGAATAGTGTTGAAACCAAAGAGTACAGAAGAAGTATCGGCTATTCTAAGAGTCTGTAATGAGAACAATCTTGCTGTGTGCCCTCAGGGCGGAAACACAGGGCTGGTGGGTGGTAGTGTTCCTGTTTTTGATGAAGTCATAATCTCAACGTCGTTAATGAATAAAATCATCAAAATAAATGATATACCAGGTGAGTTATCTTACTAGGCTACCCCTAATGCTAAGGGCGTTTCATTGACAATTCAATACTTAACATTACCGTTATTTTCTCCAATTATTTACTTTACACCCCTGATACTATCGTAGGCTACAGTACCTTGCCATTTCATGTATGTAAGGGACCCTGAGACAATTTACTGGCCAAGTAAACTGATTGAACACCAGTTCCAGGATACGTATTGTAACCTGTTTTACTCCTCTAGACTATCCATAACTCCATGTTGGCTGTGTTTTCGAAACATCAGAAAAACCTTGAAAGTAACAAACTGATTATAATGTTTCTTTTAAATCTCTACTGTTGTTTCAGGAAGCATAGTATGCCAGGCAGGCTGTGTGTTGGAGACATTAGACAATGCCTTGGCAGATCACGGACTGATGATGCCTCTAGACCTCGGGGCCAAGGGCAGTTGTCACATCGGAGGCAACATCGCCACCAATGCTGGAGGTCTGAGATTGCTGCGCTACGGCAGCCTGCAAGCTAATACACTCGGCCTTGTTGCGGTATAGTATTTTGTTCATCTAGGAAAGGAGAACTTAATTATTATGAATAGATATTTTAAACCCATTAAATTGTTGTACTTCTCACTGAAAGACTGATTAAAATAATGTAAATTAATTTGGTGCTTTGCAGGTGAAGGCTGATGGTCAAGTGGTAGACTGCATGAACACACTCAAGAAGGACAACACAGGTTACCATCTGAAACACCTGTTCATCGGCTCTGAAGGAACTCTTGGATTAGTCACTGAGGTTGCCATCCAGTGTCCTCCAAAACCGCAGTCTGTCAGTTTAGCACTACTAGGTTGGTTATCTGAAGGAACCATAGGATTAGTCCCTGAGGTTGAAATGAAATTAAATAAAAATCTCTCTTTATTGAGGCGAACTCAGTCCTTTCTTACAGTTGACCTCTGAGGTTGCAGTCCAATGTCCTCCCAACTTCATCCAAATCCAATGTCATCTCAGTAACTTATGTCAGTAGTTTAGCATTACCAGGGAGGTAATATGATAATACACAGCCACTGTCGGCCATCCATTGTCTTTTTAACCTTAGGGAAATCTTTAAGCTTAGCACTAATAGGTATGTAATCTGTAGATACTTTTTGATTATACAGTGGACTCCCTCTTATCCGGATACCTTTTAACTGGACATCGGTTTAACCGGACTACAATCTGCGGAAATGACATCTCTTTAACCTGACAATTTTTATCAGCACATCGGTTTAACGGGACTAGATAGGCAAGAAGTGGGCTGTAGTGAAACGACTTTTCTCATGGGAAATATTTGAGACCAGTGATCACGTGTCTAAATACAATGCTCTCCTAAATTTAAGTCAAATACTGTATACAGAATTCATTTAAACGGTCCGTTTTAAAAAGTTTTTGGGGATGTCGGTTTAACCGGAAAACCGTTATCTGGACTGGCCTTGGTCCCGAGTAGTCCGGATAATAGGGAGTCTACTGTAGGCCTAACCACTCTTGAGGTTATCCATTGTTCTTCCAAATCACAAGATATCAGTTTAATCTTGTTCTTTCATATTTATTTACATTAAGCTGCTATTGATTGCTAAAGTATGAACTTATTTGAGATAATAAACTTTTTACTGTATTCATACATGCTTTGTTGTAACATTTGTGTTTGCTGTAGGTGTTGTTGACTTTGACCACGCATTGAAAACTTTCCGCTTGGCTCGCTCAATGCTTTCTGAGATCCTTTCTTCCTGTGAACTAATAGATGAGAACTGCATGCAACCTGTAGTCAACACACTCGGTGTTCGTAACCCATTGGGCGAACATCCGTTTTATGTGCTAATAGAGGTATCTCTGATGTTTTCTAGTTGTCAGCCTGTTTTATGCATGAGAAAAATATTTTAAACATCAATTGGATTATTCAAAGGTCCTAGAATAAAAACTAATGACAAATTCTATAACAATTCTGTCCAATTAAGGATGTAACAAAGAGTATAAGGGCCAAGGTGTTTAGGATAGCAAGCTTACGTGAATCAGAAGGAAGCGCAAGTAAGACAAACCTTTAGTGTTTTGTGTATGTGGTGAAATACACAAAACACTAGAATATTTTACTGTCACTGACAGCATTTTAACTTAGGAAGAAAACTCTCTCGTCATTAGTTATCATGCTGTCGGTGACAGTAGATTATACTAGAGTTTTGTGTATATAGTGTAAAGCTTTGTGTGTTTGTGCCAGTTTAGACTCATTTCCGTACAAATATGTTTTGTTGAATTATTAATTGTAAAGAATTTTGGTACAGTAATTTACTGACTTTTTACTTGTAGTAGATTACATTTTGCCATTATTGATGAGAACATTTTGGTTTTGAGGTGTCAGGGTCCAACGCAGCCCATGATGAAGAGAAGCTGAATGCCTTCCTGGAGAGTGCGATGGGAGAGGAAATCGTTGCTGACGGAACTGTGACCAATGAACCTTCGCGAATGCAGGTCAGTGCTGAAAAAGATAGAAAACGTCTATGTTTAGTTTAAAAATCCATCAATTTTACCCTCAGGTTTACCGTGGGTGACTATAACTGAGTGAATGTCAAACTTGGTAAGGGTGGGTGAGAGTGGCGAGGCGTGACGTGTAAAGCACAGAGATGGCGGGAACGACAAATGGCAGGAAATTACGCTACTGCCAACCACAAGGAGTTAATTACCCTCGAAAACCAAAAAATGGCCTGAGGACCGATCGGGTCGGCACTACTTTTTTCTAGCAATTGTTTGCTAAACATGCTCTGTGCCAAAAATGATTGGACCAAATTAATTTTTTTTAAAATCTTAAGACTTTTTGTATGGAAACTTAATAATTATGATAAGGAAGTGTAAAAACCCATCATGTAGCTAAAAACAGATCTACAATCCTGTTTGGCACTGCGGCAATTAAACCAAAAACTAATATGGCATTTAACGTGTTAAACATGTAAGATTTATTCCCTAATTAAATAACATTAAGTTAAACGAGTACTTAGATGGGCTGATACTGTAATGGTAATAAAGTACATTTTTTAGTAAAACATTAATAGCTTAGTAAAAACAAATGATTTTGCCAAATTCTATCAAAATGTATCCATAAAAAAACAAACTACAACAGTTTTTATTCTCCTTAAGAATAACATGGAAATTTTAAATTAGCCAAACAACAATCTTCAGTATACTAAATTATTTGTTATCTAAACTTTTGCAGACCATCTGGCAATTGAGGGAGAGGATTGCCGAAGCGCTGCTGAGGAATGGATTTGTTTACAAGTACGATGTTTCACTGCCACACGACAGCTTCTATCAACTGATACCTGTCCTGCAAGACAAACTAAAAGGAACCGATGCTAAAATTGTCTCAGGCTACGGACATTTAGGTGGGACAGCTACTTGTTACATCCATGTCTTTATAAATAAATAAAAAATGTACTTATATTTAAAAACTGCTTTTTAAAACAAAATTTTCAATTATCCTAATATAAAAGCAGAAATGTAGGTTCCATAATCATGGGGCTAGATTTTTTAGGTTTAAAACTGGACTAAAATATTCTTAATCTCTAGGCTTGAAATAAATAAGTGTAGCTATAGGACCAGCTGCTATTACAGTAGACTCCCTCTTATCCGGACTCCTTGGGACCGAGGCCAGTCCGTATAGCGGGTTTTCCGGTTTAACCAATGTCCCCAAAACCTCATTAAAACGGACCGTTTAAATGCATACTATATGACAGTATTTGACTTAAATTTAGGAGAGCATTGTATTTAGACACCAGATCACTGGTCTCAAATCTCTCCCATGAGAACAGTCGTTTCAGTATCGCCCACTTCCTGCCGATCTAGTCCGGTTAAACCGATATACTGATAAAAATTGTCCGGTTACAGAGATGTCATTTCCGCCGACTGTTCTCGGGGGAAAGATTTGAGACCAGTGATCACATGTCTAAATACAATGCTCTCCTAAATTTCAGTCAAATACTGTGTAGAGTATGCATTTAAACAGTACTATTATAACAGAATAGCTTCTAGATCATAAGTAAAAAAACTTTATGTTTATATTACCTGTGATTCACTTACTTACACAGTCGTTTGCAGTGGCAAAGGTAAAATAAACCTTGAATTTGCTCAGATTCATTTAATTTCATTTTCATTTCATTTCATTACTGAAAATAAACAAGTGTTACTATAACTTTTACTATTTTTTTTTTTTTTAGTTTATAGGTGGAAATCCTCATTATGTGACCAAAAACGTAAGCCCTATTTTCATTATGTCTGTCTCTATATGTAAGAGTATTTATTTACTAACTTTTTAAATTTTAACTAGGTGATGGGAATCTGCACCTGAACATCTGTGCGCCTCAGTTCAGCCCAGAGCTGCTGGCCAAGATTGAACCGTTTGTCTTTGAGTGGATAAGTGAGCGAGGAGGCAGCATCAGTGCTGAACACGGCATCGGCTTCAAGAAGACCAAGTTCTTACGATACTCCAAGTCTGACGCAGCCATCCACACCATGAGACAGATCAAACAGCTCATGGATCCCAAGGGGATTCTCAACCCCTACAAAGTTCTGCCTATGGAATAGTTTCTAAATTGGTTGATACAGTACAACCTACCATTTTGTCATCTGGTATGAAACTAAGGAATGAATTACAGATAGGTTGTATTTTTCAAGTGCCTTGAACAATCTAAGTCAATTGCTGATTTAACCATGTGTCTCTAGTCTTCACTGTAGGTCTTAACCATACTTTTTGGGTGGTATTTGTCAGCCAAAAACACCCACTGTTAGTTTACGTTATGTTATTAATGTTTACAGTTTCATAGGACTCCAACCATCCAAATTGCTAACAGAAAGAATTAAAAAAACTTAAAACCACAGTAATAAGAATCATAATTAAAGAAGGTAGAAGCCATGATTGCAGCAAAATCCAAAATCCTCTCATGTGGTCAAGTATTGTCTCCTGTAGTTAGGGAAACATTGTCACTGGTTTTTGTGTTCGTGGCAAAATCTTGCACATCTTCCCCAGTCTTGGGACTTGGTAATCGTCTCCCGCAGTCTTGTAGACATTATCTTTGTCTTCTCTTCTGCAACCACAATAGTAAAGGTGCGTTTTCCTCCTACATCAGTAACCACGCTGCATGCTATGTGGTTAAGCTCAAGAACGCAGCGCAAAAACTTTTTCCTAGAAATCCAATGTCCTAGGAAGCCAATGTGTTGCGTGACTATCAAATTCCCTGTGCCCACAGTAGCGTTCTGCTATGGTCGAAGACAAAGAGATGGACGAAGGTGTAGACTTAGCCCTAGCTTTACTGTACAACAGGTGAAAATGCTGTCGTTAATTAACTATTTAAAACTGAGGATGCTTTTAGTATTCTGATAAATGGGCACCCGATGGGCGATGAAGTAAAATTATGAATATTTTGAATTTAGGTTAACTAACTACAGTATCAGTGTCCCTGTCTTGTTGACTAGGTGCGTAGTGACAATCAGAATGGGACAGAACTTTCAACTCAGACATACAGTCAATTAATCTACTGTCGTCATCACCAGTAAACCTGGTAGCATCACTCAAACTAGCTTTCTCCATATTTATAATGTATTAAATTAAAGCAACCCATTTCGGCCGCGTGGTTAACAACTGACTGCTCTCAAAGCAGTGCCCCCAATCACGCTGTGCGATTCGTGCTGCACGGTTAACAGTTAGTCGCGCACCGTGTCGCTACGAAAACACTCCCATTGGTTTCAAAGGGATCGGTAGCTTTGGCAACCACGTGGCACGAAGCAGCTGTGTAACTGGCTTAACCGCGACGTTAGGAAAACGCCGCTTAAAAGCTCGGCTTGATTCTGTGTGCCCATATTCTATAAAATACCCCAAAATTCTGTAAAAATGCAACTGTCTGATTTTATTATCATCTGAATGTGGTATGATCCTAATTCATTCGGATGATTGGAGCTCTACTGTACTAATTAAGTTCATAGGCTTGTTGATAGACTTATCTACATCCAATCTGGGGAATCCTATTGTATACTTTTGAAAATTGATCTAAAACAAATTTATTGTGTTCTTTTTTTTTATTAAGGAAATTGACAGGAAAGCAGGCTTACCTTTAAATAAGTCCATAGAGACACATAAAACATCACAAAATTAAAAGTAGAAATTTTCGTGGTCACTGACCACTTTTTCAACCACTGGAGATTGGAGAAATGGCAATGGCAGTTGCAATTTGAATCTATTACACCTTGTCAGGTTTGCCAACACAGATGAAGAGACTAAAAATTGTTTTTACTGTTGCATATGTATGAATGTGTTCACTTATTATGAATAATCCACTATATTTACACTGTTCTGTATTTACACATATGTACACACACATATTAAACATTTTTTATATACACTAGCCTGCTATGGAAGGTGAGGAATGGGGTTTATCTTAGATTAAGGTTTGGTGGGTTTCTAGAATGGGTGAACCATTGGTAGCTTAGTTCCCATCTTCTCAGTTCTGAGGGGTTAAACCCCATTCCTCACCTTCCATAGCAGGCTAGTGTATATAAAAAATGTTTAATATGTGTGTGTACATATGTGTAAATACAGAACAGTGTAAATATAGTGGATTATTCATAATAAGTGAACACATTCATACATATGCAACAGTAAAAACATTTTTTAGTCTCTTCAACTGTGTTGGCAACCCTGACAAGGTGTAATAGATTCAAATTGCAACTGCCATTGCCATTTCTCCAATCTCCAGTGGTTGAAAAAGTGGTCAGTGACCACAAAAATTTCTACTTTTAATTTTGTGATGTTTTATGTGTCTCTATGGACTTATTTAAAGGTAAGCCTGCTTTCCTGTCAATTTCCTTAATAATTCCTGGCAAATGCCCTTTTTTTTTTATAAGATAACCTTATTGTGTTCTTTGTTAGTTTAAACTGTCATCAGTTGTTGGGTAAATGTTTTTATACCATATTAGGCAAGTATCTAAGTGTAATTTTTGCTGTAACAAAAGTATTTTAGAATTAAGTAGATGAAATCTATCTTAATCTATCAAACTTTTTCAGGTTGCTTTATCAAGTTTTTAATTCAGGCAAAGACAATAGACAATAGACAATTAATCTTTATTTACACATTCATTAAGAATAGTAGTAGCGTCAATTTACAATTTTTCTAAATGTGTGGTTGAGGTGTTGTTTAGTCAAAGACCTGTTGATGGTATTCTTCTAAGGAATAGAAAGGTCGATTGATGAGCCATTGATGCAAAGCTGGTTTGAGGTCATCTTCTGACTTGCTTCTTAGATCTGGAGGTAGCCTGTTGTAGATTTTCATTCCTGCATATGAAGGTTTCTTTTCAAACTGTGCCGTGCGATGTTGTGGAAGGTTGTACTGCATGGTGTTTCTCAGGTTGTGTTGGTGCATTTCGCCACGCCTTGTAGGGTTATTTCTTACTGCAAATAACACAACTTCCTGGATGTAGAGTGCTACAAGGGTAAGTACTTTGAGTGACCTGAATGCTTCCCTGCAGCTGTCGAGTCTGTGGAGTCCTGCAGTTATTCTGACTGTCTTTTTTTGTTTTCTGAGAACTCTTTGCAAGTTAGTGGCAGAGGTTCCACCCCATGCTACTAGTCCATATCTCATATGCGACTCGAAAAGTGCAAAGTATGCTACTTTTGTTGTCATGTCATCTGTTGCATTTTTTATATGTTTAAGAGCATAGATGGTTGAACTTAATTTTTTACATATATTGTCCACATGAGGGGTCCAGGTTAAATTCTTGCCGAGTGTGATGCCCAAAAACTTAGCTTCATCTTCCACTTCTACATCTGGGAGTCGTGGCACTTCTTGAGATTTACGGCCAAAAGCTATTTGAGTTGTTTTAGACGTGTTTACTGCGAGATCATTGTTATAGCAGTATTGGTAGGCCATACTGAGTGACACATAGGATTTTACTTCTAGATTTTCAGCTAGTGGTTCATTAAACACTAAGGTTGTGTCATCAGCATACATAAGAGTAAGGCAGGCGTCTCCTATTTGTTGCGGCAAATCGTTGGTAAAAAGAATAAACAGTACCGGACCCATAACTGACCCTTGGGGGACTCCTCGATTTATTGGTTGAAAATTTGATCTTGTTTTTCTTATTAGGCTGTTATCTCTGTGCCTTAGTTCTACAAACTGACTCCTGTCTGTAAGGTAGCTTTGAAACCATTCTCTTACTATCCCTGATACCCCCAGGGAATCCAGCTTTTTAATGATTAGCTGGTGGTCAAGGCAGTCAAATGCCTTACTGAAATCAAGAAAGATTCCTGTTGTTAGATTTCCTTCATCTAGGCTGTCAATCAGGGACTCAACCATCTGAATTATTGCTGTTGTTGTGGATTTCCCTTTTGTAAATCCATGTTGCAGGTTGTTTAGTAGGTTGTGATTTGTGCAGTGGTCTAAAAGTCTTTTTAAAACAACTTTTTCGTATATTTTGGAGAAGGTGGAAACGAGGGAAATTGGTCTGTAGTTGCTTGCTTCTAATGTGCTACCTTTTTTAAATTTCGGGTATACTTTAGTTATTTTAAGTAGTGAAGGAAAGATGCCTTGTTTTAGGGACTTATTTATCAAATCAGCCAATGGTAGTGCTAGTTCATTGCAGCAATGCTTAAGTATTTTTGACGAGATTTCATCAATTCCAGACGAGTTTTTTGCTTTAAGTTTGTTTATAATCATTTTAACTTCCTTCTCGTCTGTGCTTTGAAAGGAGGAAAACGGTGGACCTGTTTGAGTTACGTCAGGAGTTTGAGCTGTAGTCTTTAGGTGTTTTTGTTTCTCTACTGTTTTTTCTCCTACTTGTGTAAAAAATGTATTCAAATGCTCTGCAACATGGGTCACATTACTTATGAGTTGGCCATCTACTTGAAGGGTTATTTCATTTAGGGATGTTTCCATTTTGGACCACACTGTGTTTATTGTTTCCCAGATAGCTTTAGATTTATTTTCAGCTTTCATCAAATGGTCAGAGTTAACCTTTTTCCGCATCGTTTTCAAGTACAGGTCATAGTTCTTTTTATTTTCATTTGAAACCCTTCTGTCATCTGGATTTCCCGTCACCTCAAACTTTCTTAGAGCTTTAAGAAATTCGGCTTTAAGTCTCACTGCTTCTGGGTCCATAGAGAATTTTAGTTTATGTTTTCTTTGTGTTTTTATCTTCTTTTGGGGGCAGGCTGCATCCATAGCTACTCTCACTATGTTACTAAAAGTTTTAAAAGCTTCTTCGGCATTGTTTATTGAGGTAACACTAAGCCAGTTTTCTTGACTGAGAAGATACTTGAGGTCTTGCAGGTTTTTATTTTTTAGGCAGCGTCCAATTTGGGCTGGATAACTTGAGTTGATGTGTGAGTTGAAGTTTACAGTACAGAGTTGAGCAGTATGATCCGAAAGTCCTGCATTGATGATTTCTGGAGTGAGTTGGTTTGTGTCCATATTTGTACATATCCAGTCAATGGAGGTTTGTGTTAGATTTGTTATTCTCGTAGGTGGAAGCTGTAGTCTCTGGATGTTGTGCATAGCAAGAGTTTCATTTAAGATAATGTGTTTCCTGTTCGGGTTACACAAATCAACGTTAATATCTCCCATGATGATAAGAGGGGAATTTTCAATTTTTGTTTCCTCAATTAGTTCTGTAAAGGTGTTTAATGATTCCTCAAGGTCTCCGTTTGGGGGTCTGTAGGTTCCCAGTACAAAAAGATTTGTGTTCTTGAATTTTATTTTTATAAGAGCTGCTTCAAATAACAGTTCTTTACAGTACTTGGAAACATCAATGGCTACTGTGCTGCTCTCAAGGCTTTCTTTTACAAGAATGCAAACACCTCCCTTTCTGTGTTCTATTCTACTATAGTGAGCCTTGAGGCAGAATCCACTAGCTATGACGGTGCTACTTATTGTCTCAGGTTTCAGTCCATGTTCTGTCAGAATTACTATGTCAGGTTTGGTTTCTTCTAAAAGGTGCTGTAGTCTATTTATTTTATTTTAGACTTCCTGTGTATTTTGGTGCAGCAGGATGAGTTTGGAGTTTACATCCTGACTCGATTGTCTAAAAAACAGTCAGGTTGCGTTTCTCTTGTCTCTGCTGATTTTTGCAGTTTTCTTAAAGTAAAATCAGGCTGCGTTGGAATAATCTGAGAAGGTGAGGAAAAAACAAAGTTATTATCCTGTAGCGATGCAGCCTCCCTTTTTACTAAATATCCATAATGCTTCTTCATATGTTCTGAATAAAATCCTATATTTTTTACAAAGAAATCATTGTAATCCTCGTCTTTGCTCTTTGGCTTAGCATTTAGGGGTGGAAGTTTATTTTTATTTTTGGTCTCTTTCAGGCTTTCTTGAGCTTTTACTGTTTGTGACACTTGTGACAGTTTTTGTGGCGGGGTTTGGCTGGTTCCCCCTGTTGATACTTGTTCCGTTGAGGTCTCAGATGACAGTTTTTCTGTAGGAGTTTGTCTGACTCTCCCTGTTGCAGTTTCTGTTGGCAGTTTTTTAGTAGGATTTTGTCTGACTCTCCCTGTTGTAGTCTCGGTTGGCAGTTTTTTAGTAGGAGTTTGTCTGACTCTCCCTGTTGTAGTCTCGGTTGGCAGTTTTTTAGTAGGAGTTTGTCTGACTCTCCCTGTTGCAGTTTCTGTTGGCAGTTTTTTAGTAGGAGTTTGTCTGACTCTCCCTGTTGTAGTCTCGGTTGGCAGTTTTTTAGTAGGAGTTTGTCTGACTCTCCCTGTTGAGGTCTCAGATGACAGTTTTTTAGTAGGAGTTTGTCTGACTCTCCCTGTTGTAGTCTCGGTTGGCAGTTCTTTAGTAGGAGTTTGTCTGACTCTCCCTGTTGTAGTCTCGGTTGGCAGTTTTTTAGTAGGAGTTTGTCTGACTCTCCCTGTTGTAGTCTCGGTTGGCAGTTTTTTAGTAGGAGTGTGTCTGACTCTCCCGGTTGTTGTTTCAGTTTGCAGTTTTTTCGTTGGAGTTTGTCTGGCTCTCCACGTTGTGTTTTTGAAGGTTTTGCTGGTTATTTCTCGGCATTCAGTAGCAAGTGTGTGATTTGTTTGTTCTAGGTATTTTGCATTTTGCAGGGATACGCTGAATATGTTAGTTCTGTTATGAATTCTTTGAGCCCTTTTATTTTTTAATGAACTTGGTGTTGGAATGGAAGGATTTGTACGAGTTGTCGGAGAAATTGTGTTAGAAATCTCTTTGTTCATCTGCATTTTCAGGGTGTTAATGACGTGTTCCATTTGATTTTGTTTCATTTTAATTTGAGCAAGTTCAGCTAAGAGGAAAGGACTGTGACCAGCTATACATTGATGGGTCTGGGCTACAGCAGGCTTTGTACTAACCAGATTTTCCTCTTTTTCATCCAGCTTAACTTCATTGTGTTTTTGTGTCAGATCTTTTATGTTCTGTTTAAGTTGTTGAGTTTCTTGTTCATATTTTTTTAAAGTGTCTTCTTTTTCCTTGTCCAATTCTTCAAAGGTGTGCTCTAAGTCTCTGCGAAGCATCTTCTCATTGTCGAGCTGTTTTTCAAGATTATTGATGGTTTCCACGAACGAGTTGAAAACGTCAGATGAGTAAAACATATGCATAATTGTTTACTATTTTCTAGGTGGTCATTAGAACATTTCTATATCGTAACAAAAAATATTACTGCACCTAGTTACAGCCACCTTTAAGTCCGGCTGCGGCCTTCTAAGTGGCAACGTCGCAAGTAGTGTTGTTGTTGTTACAGCTGTTTTGTTTGGAGGCAGCTAATGGTATTTGTGTATTTTTTTCGAATACAAAAGCTTGGTTACTGGGCTACAAAAATATTGATTCCATTTTAAATGTACAGAAATATATTTTCAATTAATATTGTTTTAGTTTTCAATTCTAGGTTATATGTTTTATTTTCAATCTTTGAATAAATTTATATTTATACATTTTAATTTTAATGAATAATACACAAATTAATGAGCTGGTGTCACCTGTCTGCCATGTTATGAGACGTCTAGCACTAAACAACACTACTTGCAACGTTGCCAATTCTACCAGGCCGCGGCCTGGAGTTAAAGGTGGCCGTGACCTAGTCCTTTAGGTGTGATGGAAAAGTAATAGAAACAGATCTGATAAGTGAATAAGTGTTAAGTTGTGTTTATACCAAAGTTGCACATCTTTAATTTAAAATAAACGCAGCTAATGCTAAAATCCTATGTGATGTCACAGACATGATCGAGCTTAATATTTACAGGTGGTGTTTTGTTACAAAATCATGATGTAAACAGAGCATAGTATCAATATACAATTTCATTGTTATTCTATTATTTAAAAGTGTATTTTGTTGTTATTCATGATATAAGCATACTGTACATATTTATAATAAATATATTTTTGTAAACACTTGTTTGAATTTTAGTTTCACAAATTGTGAATACCTTAAGCAAATTGATAGGAGCAGCAGCAGGGACTTATTTCCCACCAAGCAAGCTCTTAGGGGCAGCAGAACATCAGATTGGTAACTGATTTTTTTTTTTTTTTTTGTATCTACGCCAATGGCATTTTTCTAATGAAGTCAAACACTTTTAAGGGAAAGCGGTCCAAACCCATCAAAGTTCAGTGGATGTGCCGGGGATTGAACCCGTCCCTCCCGCACCGAAGTCCGAGACGCTAACCACTAGGCTAGCAACACAACCAATCTTCTTAGACTTCATTTCTCAGACATCATTTCTTAGACTTTTCTTTTATGTACTTTCCGTAAATTTAATAACACGTACAATTCTGATCAAGAAATTATTTAGATTATTTTAAAAAGATTGGTGTATCACTGCATAGCCGTATTTATTACTTTCTTATGAAATGGCGACCATACTAATGTAGGTATTTTAAGCCAAGTATGAATGGAGATGAGTGGCACGATCTTGTAGTCTTGTTAGTGACTAAGGCCGACATGTTCCTTAGACACAGCTGTTAATTAATAGCCCATACAGCCAATGGAAGCTAATGGACCTACAGTTTATAGTGTAATCCGAACCACATTTTTACCTTGTAATTAACAAATTGGTATAATTATTAGGATAGTACTGCGGAGTACTCACTAGTTTGGAGGTTAATCCACACTATGGAGTATCACATCCACAGTGCATGCGGCCATATAAGTGTCCCGAAATATTTGCTGATTTTCCCAAAATCCGTAGCAACAACAAACCTTACAGATGACCAAATGTCACCGGACATAAAGAACATCACAACAAACATCAGAACTTAAATTGTAGGATGACAATAATCTACTTGTAGTGTTGTCAACTACTTAGTATTAGTAGTATTGGTTGTTAAGGATGTATGGTGAGTGGGAAATTATGTAGACAACCAACCTCATATTAAGTTTAGAATACAAAAGTTGTTATATATTAAAGAAGTTTGGGTTTTAGAAATCAACAATTCTTTAGAATATTTTATTTATTTGTAACCATAAATTCCAATCATTTACAAATGGCCACTTGCAAAAAAATATGTTTAACCCATTAAGTCCATGTTACAAGTATAGCTTATAATGATATTTTGCAAAGCCGTGGCTGTACTGCCCCCTATTTATCTGTTTGTTCTTCCTTACTGCCCTCTTTGGCAATATTTTCACTCACTTTAATCTCACAATGGGGCAACTGCTTGCTTAACTCTTCAATGCAAACATCCAACTCATTCCTTTCTAAGCTTTTCAGGCCAGAAAGCTGAAGTTCTTTTAGATTCCTGTAAGCAGACAATAGATTTACTGATTTACTTGATAGTCATTTAGAGTTTTCAAATTTTCATGTTATGACATTTTTGTATTGACGTGACAGTGTCTACTAGATTAGTTGAAAAAATAAAATGAAAAACTAGGATCACAAATAGGCTGCAAATAAAACTGACTCCTCTTGTTTTATAAACTCTTGTCAATTTTATAATAATCTACCAAAAACAGTACAAGAACTCTATGAAAAGTGTTTTAGAAGTAAGATCATGTAGTTTTCCATGAACATTTGTTTTTACCATGTAATGAATTTTTCACCACGGTTTTTCAGGCCGCGGCCTGGAGTTAAAGGTGGCCGTGACCTAGTCCTTTAGGTGTGATGGAAAAGTAATAGAAACAGATCTGATAAGTGAATAAGTGTTAAGTTGTGTTTATACCAAAGTTGCACATCTTTAATTTAAAATAAACGCAGCTAATGCTAAAATCCTATGTGATGTCACAGACATGATCGAGCTTAATATTTACAGGTGGTGTTTTGTTACAAAATCATGATGTAAACAGAGCATAGTATCAATATACAATTTCATTGTTATTCTATTATTTAAAAGTGTATTTTGTTGTTATTCATGATATAAGCATACTGTACATATTTATAATAAATATATTTTTGTAAACACTTGTTTGAATTTTAGTTTCACAAATTGTGAATACCTTAAGCAAATTGATAGGAGCAGCAGCAGGGACTTATTTCCCACCAAGCAAGCTCTTAGGGGCAGCAGAACATCAGATTGGTAACTGATTTTTTTTTTTTTTTTTTGTATCTACGCCAATGGCATTTTTCTAATGAAGTCAAACACTTTTAAGGGAAAGCGGTCCAAACCCATCAAAGTTCAGTGGATGTGCCGGGGATTGAACCCGTCCCTCCCGCACCGAAGTCCGAGACGCTAACCACTAGGCTAGCAACACAACCAATCTTCTTAGACTTCATTTCTCAGACGTCATTTCTTAGACTTTTCTTTTATGTACTTTCCGTAAATTTAATAACACGTACAATTCTGATCAAGAAATTATTTAGATTATTTTAAAAAGATTGGTGTATCACTGCATAGCCGTATTTATTACTTTCTTATGAAATGGCGACCATACTAATGTAGGTATTTTAAGCCAAGTATGAATGGAGATGAGTGGCACGATCTTGTAGTCTTGTTAGTGACTAAGGCCGACATGTTCCTTAGACACAGCTGTTAATTAATAGCCCATACAGCCAATGGAAGCTAATGGACCTACAGTTTATAGTGTAATCCGAACCACATTTTTACCTTGTAATTAACAAATTGGTATAATTATTAGGATAGTACTGCGGAGTACTCACTAGTTTGGAGGTTAATCCACACTATGGAGTATCACATCCACAGTGCATGCGGCCATATAAGTGTCCCGAAATATTTGCTGATTTTCCCAAAATCCGTAGCAACAACAAACCTTACAGATGACCAAATGTCACCGGACATAAAGAACATCACAACAAACATCAGAACTTAAATTGTAGGATGACAATAATCTACTTGTAGTGTTGTCAACTACTTAGTATTAGTAGTATTGGTTGTTAAGGATGTATGGTGAGTGGGAAATTATGTAGACAACCAACCTCATATTAAGTTTAGAATACAAAAGTTGTTATATATTATAGAAGTTTGGGTTTTAGAAATCAACAATTCTTTAGAATATTTTATTTATTTGTAACCATAAATTCCAATCATTTACAAATGGCCACTTGCAAAAAAATATGTTTAACCCATTAAGTCCATGTTACAAGTATAGCTTATAATGATATTTTGCAAAGCCGTGGCTGTACTGCCCCCTATTTATCTGTTTGTTCTTCCTTACTGCCCTCTTTGGCAATATTTTCACTCACTTTAATCTCACAATGGGGCAACTGCTTGCTTAACTCTTCAATGCAAACATCCAACTCATTCCTTTCTAAGCTTTTCAGGCCAGAAAGCTGAAGTTCTTTTAGATTCCTGTAAGCAGACAATAGATTTACTGATTTACTTGATAGTCATTTAGAGTTTTCAAATTTTCATGTTATGACATTTTTGTATTGACGTGACAGTGTCTACTAGATTAGTTGAAAAAATAAAATGAAAAACTAGGATCACAAATAGGCTGCAAATAAAACTGACTCCTCTTGTTTTATAAACTCTTGTCAATTTTATAATAATCTACCAAAAACAGTACAAGAACTCTATGAAAAGTGTTTTAGAAGTAAGATCATGTAGTTTTCCATGAACATTTGTTTTTACCATGTAATGAATTTTTCACCACACTATGATGTTATTAGCTGTTTTACATACGTTAATTAGAGGCTGAAAGTTAGGTTTTACTGGCCATGCCAGCTTTCATCGTCATTTGGGGACCAAGCAGGTTTTTACATCCCTAGGGCCGCAAAATCAGCTGCCCGCTTGCATATTAAATACACAAACAGTATCCATAGCATTGCAATAGAATTGTTTTATTTTCACTGTTGCCTAGCAACTGTTTATTATTATTTTTGGTGATTCCTGAAATTACTTCTTCACATAGCCTTAAAGTTGCATTGACTATCAGTGTGCATTAATTATTATTGTGAATAGTAGTAGTATGGTGATAAATAGTGTTTGTACCACGGACCAAAAATGGTTTTGCAGCTCTCGATCGTTTTAAGTTTGAGACGAAGTCAAGAGTTAAAAACTATCTCGAGCCCGCAAAACCTCATTTTCGGCCCTAGGTACGAAATATACTATTTTACTGCAACCTGGACTGCCTTGACGCTTTGTATATTCTTAACTATAAATTAAGAAATTGAAATTGTCTCCATATTGATGTAATTGCTGACCAGTGTATTTATGACAATATTATTTTGTATCTATAAATAAGGGGTTTTGGGCTCTTCAGTGTTCTACATCATGGGAGTTTTACAAATATTGTTCATAGCTATAAAATAATACTAACTGGAGTTTGCCTAGAGACAGTAGTCCTTTTTTAGATATCCCATAGCACTTGATGATTGAGAGCGAGTGAAGAGATGATTTTAAATAATGCAATTGACTCAAGGCCGAGTCGTCCAAATACAAACATTCTTGCAATTTGATCTTGTCCACATGGTCACAATGTCCTGATAAATTAATCAAAATTACAAAATGACACTTTATTATAAAATAACAATTCAGTAAAAAACAACTTGTGGTTGTATTATGACAAACTTCAATCTGGCTGTAAACGTATATTTATTAGATAATTTCTTGAGGAAGCCATTCCATAAAAAATAAGGAAATATTAAATTGACTGTTCTTTTGTTGTAATATTAGTTAGAAACAATTAAATAATATCTATACGACTATATAAAAAAAAATACTTTTTGCAATAATGTTTGACTACAATAAACACTAGGCCTAAACAAAGTTATATTATAAAAATGTCTTTTAATAGTGAGATATAATTTTGTATTGGCCGATAACTCAGTAACAACAAGAAAATGTCACTCACAAACATTATTATTACCAAGTTTTTGTACTTCAGGACACTCTATTGTATATATACAACCACTTATAGATAAGTTTGTCTTTATATTTTCATCTATCTATCTATACTATTATAAAAAAGAGGTGGTGTCTGTGTGTGTGTATGGGAAAAGTAAACGCGAAAACTACTGGTCGGATCGGGCTGAAATTTGGCATGATGATAGCTCACATTCCCGATTAACATATAGGCATATTTTTATCCCAAAAATCCTTTCGGGCTCCTCCCCAGTGGCTCTGGAGTTTCCCATGTTAACCTTATGAGAAATGAAATTATTGAATCTTAACAGCTGTTTCAATTAAACAAGTTGGTTCTGTTCTGTGATGTTCAATAGCATTAAAGTTACAAGGATTACCAACAGGGTGCAGCACTAGCACTATTATTTCTTTTACATTTATGACAACAGCAAAAGGTGAGTGAGCGTAGCGAACGAACTTCAACCTGGAGGCGAGTGAGCGTAGCGAACGAGCTAACCTGAAGGCAAGTGAGCGTAGCGAACGAGCTAACCTGAAGGAAAGTGAGCGCAGCGAACGAGCTCCAACCTAAAAATGAGTGAGCGTAGCGAACGAACTTAAAAACGAACCGAAATTTCTTAAACCATGTCCTCACTCATAACTGCTATAAGCATTTGATACTTATATGCCAACCCCGTACGAAGGATGGGTACTCTGCTAGTAAGTTAGAAAAACAAGGAAACTGAGATGGATTCTTTATTTCACTCAAGCATTAGCCCATTGTCACAACAGTTAGTTAATAGTAATGGGTGTTGGGTCGGTCACCATGCACAACCTGTCCTCATTAAATGTCTTCAACAATCTTTGCAATCAGATACTTATTAGTGGGTACTGGATTTGGAAAAAGCGTTTTCCTGTACTTAATGTTAATAACTAAGATGTCAATAACTTCTTATAATCTCAAATGTATTTTATTGGTAATTCTGAATTTTTTCAATGTAAATGTTTATTGAAATTTTTCATATATTAGTAGGATGAAGAAATTGCTCACGGCTTTCTCATCCTAAATTGAGACAAACTACCTGACCAAAAAAAGGCAGGGCGATGGCTAGGTCGACTCTACGAGTAAATACCAATGCCCACACCTCACTGAACACACATCTCATAAGTGGAAATAGCCTATAATGAATGATTGAAAATATAATAAATTAATTGTATCTGACAATAATGTATTCTAAGTTACCACAAAACAAATATTTTCATTTTTGGCCTATGTAAATTCGCTGCCTGGAATACATTTCGGAAAGTGTAGACACTTTCTGTATGACAACATAGGATAAATTATGGGCGTGACTTGATATTCAAAAATGGTGAATTGTTGAGACACTTTACTTAACCCTTCAGGGAAGGGTGACGGATATATCAGCTTAAGTCTTTGGTGATAAAGGACGGGTGGCGGATATATCCCCTTATGATTTTTGATGTTTCGGACGGGAAGCGGAAATATCCGCCTTCTCTTCAGACAGACTGGCAGGTGCTTAAGCAGTATCCAGATGTTTCACGGTACCAAGGCGCCACTTTCCTGCTCTCTCCATGGCTGCGCACTCTCCCCTCTCTCCCGTGCCTACCCCTCTCCCGTGCCTCCCCTCTCCCGCACACCACCCACCTCTCCTATGCTCACCCCTCGGCGTTTTGCGCTCAACACTACGTTGATTTACATATTGTTCTTTATTTATTGCCTAACGTTGTCATGGTCATATCTTCAAAGACGGGTGGCGGATATATCCGCTGCTTTTCTACTCATCCGCGGACAGGTAGCTGATATATCCGCATGGTTAAAAACGAGTAAAAATTATTTTGACAGTATGAATTGTTCCATTTTGTTTATTTTATGTATACTTGTATAACAAAACACAAATTAATTACTATTTTTTCCTATAATTTTTTCCCGTTCTATGTCACGATTTCGCCCGTCCGGGAAGGGTTAAACTTTTTGTCATACTGCAGAATTAACAGCGCTTTTAATACATGAGTTGCAAGTCTAAAGTAGGGGCTTTTTAGTCCCTAGGGAGTAAAAGCCAGCTGTTGCAAGCTTTCATTGTAAGCAATTGCATGTCTTTAAATCATGCGTCAATTGATTTAATCAGTTGCCGCTTATTGTTACATTAATTTTTATTGTTCAACATATCAATAGTCTGCTGTATACTAACACAATTTTGTAACAGATAAAATTATTATATCACTAAACCAGTTGCTTGTTTGCATTAGCAAAATTAAAAACAAGTTGGAAATAGTTTTTAGAGGTAATTTTTGTATAAAAAATATTTTCTATTTATAATTCAGTTTATTAAATAATGTTCAATATGACAAAAAATATAGTTCACACGGGCACAAAGTATCTTTGCAACCCTCACTCATTTTATGAACTCGGCTACACCTCGGTTGTGGAACTTGAGCTCGGGTCTAAAAGAGTCACTCCTAGTGATGAAATATACTATTAGTAACTTCATTATCAGAAGGTCGTTAAAGTATAATATATAATTATTGTGGTTTTGAAATATCAGATTTATCTCCAAATCAATCCACATTAGGCATATTTTTAAAAGATTTGTGTCCTTACAGCACAACAAATATTCCTACATTCCTAAAAAACAAACTACAAGTCTTATTAATTACACAGCTTATAAGTAAATATCTCACAAGAGATTTCACTTATGAAAGTATATGAATGAACATTATCATAACGTTTTATGAAAAAGGAGTTGACAAAAAATCTAAGATATCATGAAACAAATTTTATTGAACACAATATATTTACAAGCAGATCTTATTAAAGCTAGACTAGTAAAAAACTGTTATGGCACTAATACTGTAAGAATACTCTTGGTTGTGTAAAGTTAATTATTTAGGCAGTGTGTATTTAATGTCGCAATTAGGCAGGGCAGCTTGCAGTGTTTTGACACACTTCTTCATATCCCGCACCTGGATAAGGTCGGCCATTTCAAGAGTTCTGAGTTTCCTGGAAAATTAAATATTTCAGTTAAATAATTCTCATCCAAACACAAAATGAAAATACTTTCATGAATGCTGTACAAGAGGTTAAATACCTGATTGGCAAAGTAATCTTTATAGTCTGTTTGCTCACTGAGTGCAGCTGGTTGAATCATCGACTCTTATCACTCGCACAGATACAAAAAATCAGGACGGACCATTGACCTGCTGTGTGACCTTATCATTGGCTCACAGAAATTTGACTATCATTTTAGCGAATTTTTCCATATAGGGAATACGCTATTACCATAGGTCTCATGGTAAGACCTGGACCTGGTACCGATTTACTTTTAAGTTTTGATGTCCCCAGAGGCCAAATACACCATCTGTTCAAATTCATATGTATATATATGTGTGTCTGTTATCACTATAGCTCGAGCAAAAATGATTTTGTGTTGCTTGAGATTATACTTCAAAAATTAAGAAAGTAGATTCGATAACAAACAAAACAAAGCCTTATAGGATTAACTGCAGAGACACTTAACTGATGATTTTCAACCCGTCTGCAATGGGCTTTTCTTACATTCCCTGTTAATGTAGGCTCTACTGTATGTCTCTACTACCATAGACCAAAAGAATTAAATTAGACTGTCAGTTGTGCTGAGGTTACCATGGTTACCATAGGTTCTGGCGCACACCGCTGGGAGCGCCGTGTAGCTACGTAGCGCGTACGCCGTAACCTCATGGCGCTCCAAGCGGTGTGCGCCAGAACCTATGGTAACCGCAGCACAGCTGACGGTCTATATTTAATTCTTTTTGTCTATGCTACTACTCACAGCAGGCTGGCCAGTGACATGATGCCCTTGTCAGTGAGGTTGCCACAGTGCAGGATCAGCAGAGACTCCAGAGAACTCTTGAGGTACTCCAGCTGATGCAACGCAGCGTCCTCCAGGTAGCTGCACCTCTCAAACTTGATGCCCTCTACGTAGTTGCAGTTCTCTGCGATCAAAGCAAACGATCAACGGATGAATTTTATAGTTATCTTCAAGCATTTATTTTTTGGATACTGAAGTAGACAATTCCATCTATGAGGATTAACGGTAGTCAGTTTTAAAATTAAATAGAAACATTGACTATTGGATACAGTTGTTGTATTAATAATCAAAGATAGAAAATAATTTAACGAGCCATTCAAAGAGTGTCAAATTTAGGATACTTGCCACCTTTGGCCAAAATTGACTCGGATCCAGCCCCATCGGTGGAGCTTCCCCGCGAGGGGACATCCATCGTCAGCCCCGATTGTGGAGAAATCGTAAACATCTCCCACAATCACAGGGACATCATCATTAGCACCTGCAATCTCGGCAAATTACCAGAACCTAATGGTATTAACTGGTGCCACAGTCTAAAATTCCATTTTCTAATTTTCTCATTTAAGAGTTCTTGTTACTCTATGATAGTTGATGTGACATAAAAGGTGTTATAATTTACATTTACAAGTGGCTGTCCTTTCAATTTATTAATGATTAAATAGTTTATGTCTTCAATGGAAATCAATCATTTACATCAGAGCACTCTGTCTCAATTGAACTAATCTCATTTTCATTCTAGAACCGGCTCAAGCCGTTATGGGAATGGAACGTCTAACACA